AACTGGAAAATCTAGGTTTGATAGCCTTTCATAAAATGAGATTCATGAAGGGCAAAAGTCAGTTGGAATCATCAACATGAATTCACCACCAGGAAGGAGAGTAGGGGAGCCACAAAGGTGAATGTGGAGGATAAGAGAGAGTTATTCTGTCACTAAAGTTATTTAAGGAGTCTCTTCGTTTCTGTCCTCTAGTGATCGAGAGGAACAACCTAATTTACAGTTTGATACCCATATGTGGGCTCTAATATTAACTTCCATTAAAAAACAGCAGTGCTCCTTAAAGAGCATCCAATTCCATGTCTTGGGATCAAACCAATAATGATGAGCCAGTAACCTCTTGATCTTTTCATAAAGCAAATATAATTTTAGTGCTGTTAGGGATAGAGCTAAAGGGACAAAGAGAACAAACTGAGGACTGCTAGTGACCCCAAGGGACATTTTAAGCATCAGAGGACAAATAATGACTACAATTAGTTAGAAAAAGTAAAGATGATTTGAAGAAGTGTGAGTACATGATGATACTATTAAAAGGAAAGTAAACAAACTTGATGTGATGCACAACACATTTCTAAAAAAACCTAATAGAAATTATGTAACTAGATTTTCATGTGAAAATCTAATCAACAACCAGGTAATCAATTATAGATTGCTAGCAAAGGTAGGGAGGACATGCTTAGGATGCAATTTAAACTATACATCCATCGCTTATGAGTTTAGATGGAGGAATAATGAGAATTACTAATAAGAACAATATGGAAAATTCAGAGTAGCTTCTAACAGTGAGATAAAAAGTTATGAAAGACTCATGCAAAAGATACAGGAATGTTGAGGAGTGAATGTTTGTCCTTTGCTCTCTTTTCACAAGAGTGTAACAGTACTGTATATTTTGGGTACTTGGGCTGAAATATTGAAAGAGATGCATCTGAGACAGCGATTGATCGTGGTCTCAATGTCACATGGTCCCCTAGTTCAAATGGCTCATATGCCCCCAAGAGTAGAGAAATGTATGGAGTAGACTTTGAGGGAATGCACATGCCCCACATCTGAGCTTCTACCTGACTGTAAATTGGATTGGAAGGAACACTGGGCATGTGACATGTGTAAAATTGCACAATATGGAATATTAAGAACTATTATACAAGAGAGGAGAATTATAATTATAATTGTGATGAATCACCATCTGTTCAAATGGCCCATTAAGGCTATTTTAAACTGTTCGTCAGTATCTAATTCTTGATGTTCAAGAGCACCATGAAATGCAATGAAAATAAGGGAACTGCATTTAGCAACAGATAGTCAAGGAACTAGAATATTCATATCTAAAGGAAGTGGCACAGCAATTAAAAATACTTTGGGTAGTGGCAGAGAGGATGTGAATACACATTAAAAAGTGGGACAAATGAATAGATTAAAAATATTTACTATAGCCAAAATATATTGCTTCTGAGCATAGCAATTGAGCCCCGTAAAGAGGGAGACCTGATGAAGAAGAGATTTGGCTGCTGGGAGCTTATGTAGAGTTGTGTGGACATTATAATAACAGGAAATGTTATTTTTCTTCTAACATTTTACTGCACTAATAGGGAAAAAAGAAACAAAATAACAAGATAGAAGGGGACATAAGGTGAATGGGTTCTTTTTCCTGCAGAGATAAAATGTTTAGAAAGATATGGAAAAGTTTAGTGTGATCATAAGGGAGAGGAGAATAGAAAACAAGTTAGACCTAAGGTCTCATTTTACTATCATGCATAATATAAATTCTGCTGTTTTACATTCTATTTATATTAGAACATAGTACAAATACTACTGTCATGGTGAATTATATATTTGTTTTAGTATAACATGTTCATAAATATCTAAATAAAAATTTTGGAGCCATATCGTGGCTAGGTTTATTGAAAATCAAAGCAAAACACTTACAAAATAATTTTCCTTCCTATACAAGATGAGATGTCTTACGTATATTTAGCCTCGTGTTTAGAAAAATCACCAAACAACTAAAACTACATAACTAGTACAGTACAGACAAGTTAGGGGGAGCACAATACGTCACCCCGAACTATGCCACTTGGGCATGTGGATTGCTTTGAGCTGAAGGCAATTAAGACCCAGTAGACTCTGGAAAAGCCTTTTACCTCTCCCATAACTGCCAGAAGCAATTCAGATAGGGGGCCTGTACTAGGAAGAGAGCTATTACCAGGGATCACATTTTTTATCAGAAGACTTATCTGCATGGCAGGGCAAACATCTGTGTACCAAACATTTGCGCTTCTCACCTTCCTGTGAATTGTCTTCCTCTCCTTTGAACCCCCAGATCCCTACCCCCTTCTCCTTAGCTCAAGATGATATATGAGCCTCAATCGCCAGACTGTCTTTGAGTCTTCATGTCTTTGCAGAGCTCCTGCATGTACATAACTCAATTTGTTTTTCTTCTGTTAACTGTTTTATGTCAATTTCATTATTAGGCCAGCAAAGAACCTAGAAGAGAAGGAAAATGTTTTCTACCCCACACAAGAATAAAACTGTTCACCTTAAGGGTTAGCTGAAATGAAGAGTTAATTCTGATACAAAGCAAGTGAGAAGTGTAACTGTGTTGCTGCCGATGAAGAAAGATACAAATGAAGACTAAATATTCCACAGAGATTTAAAGATTGACCAGTTAGTAGTGCTTCCAGAATCAATAATTCACTCAAGAGGAGCAATTAGGCTGATGCTGACACATAGATCTCACAATAGACTGGTGCAAAGGCCTCATCCAATTACCAGAAATAGTGGATGGTAAATGGTTCAACCAGCTCAAAGGTACTCAGGGCTGCTGGGTAGGGTTCAAAGTCTCTGCTTTGGAATAACTCCAGAAAGTAAGGATATTTTTACTTGCTGTCCCACCATGACCCTCTTATGTCCATAGATCACCAGTACAATGGATTGAGTTGCTTCTACTTCAGTATCACTACTACTGGGAACTTTAAATGTTTGTGTTTTGTGTGTATGTGTGTGTGAGGAAGATCAGCCCTGAGCTAACATCTGTCACCAGTCCTCCTCTTTTAGCTGAGGAACACTGACCCTGGGCTAACATCCGTGCCCATCTTCCTCCACTTTATATGGGACACTGCCACAGCATGGCTTGACAAGCGGTGCGTCGATGCGTGCCCAGGATCCAAACCCTGGGCCGCCACAGCGAAGCGCTCGCACTTAACCACTACGCCACTGGGCTGGGCCCCCATTTGTGTTGTTTTTTATGAAACAAAATTGAGAATAAGTATAATGTGAAGAACTGAGAAGATGAGGGAAGAAAACCATATCTGCAATTAGTAAATAGATTTCCTTTGAAGAATTAGGCATTTTCCTAAATTCTGCAATATGCTTGACACAAATGTAATACCCATTTAACTACCTATCACCACTTCTCTGCCATTATCCCCTTCAGTTGGGGAAATGTTAGTAAGGTCTTCAAACCACTGTATCACAGAGGTAGAGATAGGTCCTGGGGTTGGTTCTTCAGGTCCTGTTTTGTGCCATATTTTTTGTGGGTTCCACACTCTCTCTAGTCAGTTTGTCTTCTAAATAGAATGGCCATTAAGGATAAATATTCTATGGTTTATTCAAATTCCCTGTATATTCACTTGGGTTATTGACTTTAGGTGCTGCTTCTCTTCTATTAGTTAGTGCTTCTTGAATAAGAAATATTTCTTCCAATATGCTAAGATAAATCATGACTGTTTTGCATCTGTTGATTTTACACTGAGCACGCGATCTGATTTGGAACATAACTTAAGCCCTCCCTAACACATTTCCACTCACCTCTATTTT